TCACTTTTAGTTATTGACACGTCAAAACTTCTTTTTGTTAAGTTATGTTTAAATAAAATAAATAATACGTTATAATTATAAGACTGTTCACGGTATAGAATTATAGAAAACTGTCGTATCATAGATTTATAAAGATAAGATAAAACATCGGGCTTATCAACTATGGATAAAGTGTTAAAAATTGTTGAGGTTTCAAGGGTTCCTTAATATTGATAATTATTGTAACTTAACCATAAAATCTGACTGCACTAGTACACACTGGTGTACACTGCCCGGTGTGCACTGGTCGATACCGTGTGGCCGTGTGGGCAATTATGTGATTCAGTGTTCACGTATAGTGTGTACTAACTACTAGTACAGTCACATGGGAAAAACGCTATTACCTATGCTATTACGGTTATCTATACCTAGTTTTATCAACGTTAAAATACTTTCGCTAATTATAAATATTTGCTATTGAAAGTGTGATAGTTGTATTATACGTGTAATATTATTTTACGTAAACATTTTTTAATTTAAAAAAAAAATTCAATAATGTTTACTGACTGTATAAAAAAAAATATATAATATTCTAAAACGAATATAATATATACATTTAAATTATTTTTGTTGCTTTTACATCTAGTAATGTGGCTTCACTAGTAATTAAATGTATGTTTCTATGACATAAATGCTATACTGTTTAGTTTGTTAAAGTTTTTTTATTTAGCTTTGAATAATATAATAAGTAATTTAGATTTCTATATTATATATGTTATACTAATGTACTTAGCTAAAATTATAGATAATGAATTATTGGCATTCATTTGATTATTGCTGTGAACAAATTTAATACTATGAAGAACAGATTAAAATATTAGCAAAGATGATTACCGAAAATAAAACTAAATAGAGATATGAATATAAAGATCTTAAAAAAAATTAAAAACCTTAAATTCACTATTTATTTAAGTAGAACAAATTCTAATCCAAATTTGACTTATATAAAAGAGTTAAATACAAAATTAGTTTTATTAAGAGAAAATAAAATGGATATACCTATGTCGAAAATATTGCGATTTATATATCATGAATTTTCGTAGGCGAGAAGTTTGTTTCGGACGTTTCGGTAGAAGGTTAGATTTTCTTACGACAGCAAAATCTAAACGTGAAAGGTTTCGAACAGGTTAAATTTTTTTAATTTATTATGAATAATTAGTAAATATATTATTAGTTTATAATTATTATTATTTTTTATTTTTGCCATTATTTTATTACTAGTAGATAGTTTACAAATTCTATAACAATTTTCTAGAATAAAAAAAATGGAGTCACAAAATGTATTAATATGGGAAGAAATTAACACAATTTTAAAACAACTTAAGGAAAATAACCGTGGTATGAATAACGACGAAGCAACTTTCAAAAAGAAAATGAGAGATATCAATGCCAAAATCCAGAACGCGTCATTGAAAGCTACCCGGGAAAAGTTGAAAGAAGAAAAACATTTATTAATCAACGATTATAAAAATGTATTATATATAACATACGTCTGTGAAAAAAATATACAAAAAGGATTAAATGTGTTATATGATAAATTAAACGATATATAGTCGCTGATAATAAAATCGATATAAATAAATTATTTTGTTATTATTTATTATTTTTATCTTGTAATTATATGCCGAATGATATTGTAGTAAATTATAACCTATATCATTCTTATGTATATAATATCTGTCGAAGGATAATAAATGTTTTTAATGCTCAATACTGCTCAAGTTTTATAATCGTTCAAATAAAACTAATTTAATACAAATTTTAGGAAAAGTGTTTCAGATTAAAAAAAAGTATCAATTTTCTAACATAATGAGCGCATAAACAATGTATCAGTATTAATAGCTAGTTTTGAAATTCTATGTAATTTTCAGAATCATGAACTCAGAAATAAACATTATTAAAAGCAGAATTCTAGCAGTAGCACAACAGATGCTTGCAAATATAGACGCTATTGTATAGAGAAACAGAAAGCATTTCGAAAAGTATTTGTAAAAATTACTAATAGTATAAAGAAACATTTAAATTTAAAAATTGAGTTGATAAATGAACATAATAGATTCCGAAACTATTCAAGTGAATGTAAAGCAGATCTTCAGTAACGGTTAACAAAACTAAGCAATCGGTTAAGAGAATTAGAATCCGAGTAATTTCTTGATAATTTAAACAGCTTGTATAGACAGTTAGAAAATATAGAATAAAATATTTATATTGTAGCATAAGCGTATAGGTACGCGATAAGGTCTTATAACTCTAATTTTTTTTAAATATATATTAGAATAATAATTATAGTATAAATAATATATATTTTTTTTAAATTAACTTGATATTTACAATTTATAAAATTGTAATAAGCCTGGATGCTTGGTACCTACTATCGTAGTACTGACAGTAGATAAGTGGCAACCAAGTTATTATTAGATCAGGTCGCAGACACTTTATTTGATGTTGTAGTCGTGGTAGACAATGAATGATAAGACAGATGTAATATATTGTGAATTTTTATTATAATGTTCGATAATTTTTCTAAGTCCAAATAATATTCAACAGAGTGGCGTGAAGGTGCTTGCACTAATGGGTGGTAGTACACGTCTGAATACAGGCCGATTCGGGCTCCCTTATATATGAGGTTCCCCGTACCCCTTGCCTACATATACGATATCTCGGTTCTCACGGATGTGATTTGTGTGCTCATCATCCCAGCCCACACATTTACGATTGACTGCGTTTCCAATATATGATTATTATTAAAATAATCATTTTACTCTTGCATTTGTCGCGTACAGTGTTTCTGTAAAATATTATATATGCTTATTTTTGAACCCCTCGTCCTGAGTATTCAGTGGTTTTGTCTCACTACATTCAACGTAAGGAGACCTAACCACTTTCTTGTAATAGCTATGTTTTAGGCCGTTCTACAGTATATTAAACTAACTATGCACCCGTGAAATTGGTAGTATTTGTTTCGTAGTAACTGGCTTACTACAAAATAATATAACCATTTTAGTCAGCAATAAATTATTATAGTCAATGCTATCTGATTTAATCTAAATATTTTTTTTTTTAAATTAGAAGGATGACTATTCCAAATGATGTAGATACGAATGTTCAGAAACCAATTATTTCATATGAAACGGTCCGATGTATGGCATCTTCATTTGCATATGATGAACAGGAAATATTAGATTTATTCAAGTTAAATAATTCTAATTTTATACTTAAAGAAATTTATTTAAGTATAAACCTGAAATCAGTATCGACACACTATTGTTCCTTGTCTTGTTTGCGAATTGACGATGAAAACAATAATTGTCAAATCCATTTAAAGGGATTTCACCGTCAATTTCAGACTATTAAAGGCCTGCAAACATATAGTCAATTTAGTCGGTGTGCGAAATGTCGTGCATATTTGACCATTATTCATTTTAATACATCATATCCTGTAATAAATGTACCATTTTACTCATACAAGATAAAACCGACAGAGATAGATATGATTCATATAATTCATTCCCTTCAGGTAAATATAATTACTATAAACATAGTTTGATTTCAGTAATAGTTTCTCAATCTTATGATTATACAAACATTTCAGATTTTAAAGATATTTATAAACATGTGTACGTTATAGAGTAAGAAAATTACTTGTTTACACACACATTTGGATCACGGATGATGAAAGTATGATAGTAACATAGACATGTTGTTATTGCTGTTATTAACATGAACATAATCACTGAGTGAGTTCACACACACACACACACACACACACACACACACACACACACACACACACACACACACACACACACACACACACACACACACACACATTGTGTCTTTTTCGCCATTCACCTGTTTGCAGGTCACGACATGTTCCGTATATCCTTCTTAATATTTTCCTTTCAAAAACTCTCAGTTTTGACTCGTCGCTTTTCCTTATTGTCCAACATTGTGCTCCGTATAGTACTATAGATTTTATTAGTGTGGTGTATAGCTGAACTTTAAGTGTCGTTGAGAGAATTCTTGACTTAAGTAAGTTATCCATTGCATAATAACACTTGTTACCCATTTGGATCCTTTTAATTATTTCATACTCCATATTGTTTGATTGGGTGATCATTGTACCCAAATACTTAAATTGTGGTACATTTTTGATTCTATTAGGCCCTACCTTGAGAAACTCTTCTGCTTGTTTCCCGTACCGTTGTCTACTTATTTTCATATATTCTGTTTTCTCTTCGTTAATTTGCAATACTACTCTTCTCGCCGCTGTTATAAGTCTTTATTCCCTAAAAGCACTATGTCATCTACGTATGCTAGAATACTTATTAATGTTCCATCGAGTTTCACCCCTTCATCTGGAGAAATATTCATCATTCTAATTACTTTCTCCAGAACTAAATTAAAAATAGTTGGGGACAGTGCATCACCTTGCCGTAGGCCTGTATTCACCTGAACTTCTCTCGATAGTACGTTACCAACTTTCACTTTTAACATTGTCCTATTTAAAGTGGCCTTAATTAATCCAATAATTTTTTGTGGGATTCGAAAATGTTCTAAAATGTTGTATATGCTATCTCTATTGATGCTATCATACGCCTTTTTGAAATCTACAAAAAGTGTATGCAACTCTTGATCGAATTCCCAGGTTTTTTGACCTAATTGTCTTATAATAAATATTTGGTCTATTGTAGATTTATTTTCTCTAAAACCACCTTGATAGTCGCATATAATATTTTCCTCCAAAGGCTTGAGTCTATCTAGAATTCAATACGATAGACTTTTATAGGTTATATTCACTAAGGCAATACCTCTATAGTTATTACATTCTTTTTTATCATCTTTTTTGTGTATTGGGCAAATTAATGCCATATTCCAGTCTTTAGGGATCTCTTCCAAATTCCATATTTTCTCAATTAGTTTATGGATCATATCAATCATTGTTTCATCAACACATTTTATTATTTCGCCTTATATACCAACTTCGTTAGGTGATTTATGGTTTTTAACCTCTTAATTTGTATCTTGACTTCTTGTATCGTAGGTGTTTCATATTCGCTATTATTGGATGGTTCTTGTATACAATCAAATATTTCTTCAGGGTCTTCTCCATTAAGCAATTGTTCGAAATATTCTGCCCATCTTTCTGTTATTTCCATCTTTGTTGTTATCAGTTCTCCATCCTTACTTCTTATAAATTTGTCATGCCCTTTATATCCTTTTCTCATCCCATTCACTTTCTGGTATAGTTGTCTACTTCTGTGTGCTCTGTGATCTGATTCTGCCATTTCTATGACTTTTTTGTATATACTATATATTTTTGTTAATTCCTTTTGAAATTGTAGTATAATTTTTGTAGCTGTTCCATTTATAAAATAATATTTTTAATTAAATTTACCTAGGTATAATTGATGGCTCTTTTGCCAATATTTCAGGTGGAAATAAACAGCTAGGTTCAACATAGGTCTTTAAAATATAATCGGTAAATATATGACCTTCAGTGTCATTTGGACACAAACTCATAAGTTGAATAAAACCATCTTCAACTTCTTCGAATGGTAGAAATGGTAGTCCAAAAAACGATTTTAACCACTGTCCCTATTCGTCGTTATTAATATATGATGTTCGTAAAGTATTGTGGTTTTGTATCTAATCAATAAAATTATTTATGTAATATTATATTTTTTATGTTATAACTAGGGCTCGGAAGTAGATGACCTAAAGAATCTTAAAAAATGACCTAAATTATGATATAAAATGACTTAATAAACTAAAAAATGCAAAAAATGACTTATTTTATATTTTTAAGAAAAAAAACCTTTTATTTAACATCTTGTTAAAAATTGTTATTTAAATATAAACCATAAATACCCTACAAAAATATTTAAAACAAAATATAAAAATGATCCTAATTAAAAAACCTAATCAAATTTATTACATTGAACAATAAGTGCATGTTTGATATTTTCTATAGTAAATTACCTGCGATTGTCCGAAAGTAAATTCTTATACTTTGAGAAACTTCTTTCTTCTGTAATTGGTACAAATTGAAAATGAGCAATATCGGAACTATTGAGGTCGTCTGAAAAGTTTTGGTTCAACTCGTTTTCACCATTCAAAATTTTTGAAATTTTTGTCATTGTTTTAAAGCCCGTATTTTTATCCAAAACGGATTTTAATTTTTTTTTTTATATATCTTGTCCTACTCTATTTTCTGCTTGTTGAATTTTATTTTCTACATCTTGTACAATTTTTATCGAGTGGTGAAAACTAAGCCCAAATGTTTCTAACTGAGTTATAGAATCACTCAATGTTCCAAAATTAGAGTAAATGCATATCAAGTCACTTTTTAAATCAAAATCGTCCATGAGATCTTGAGCTTTCTCAATCGATGTTGCGTCTTCTCTATTTAAACCAAGTATTATTTCCTTTAAAGTTTCAAAGTGTTCACAATAATAATTTGCGGCACTTAGCCACGTCCCCCATCTAGTTAATACAGGCTGTGGGGGTAAAGAAATATTCGGTGCCTTTTCTTGAAAAAATTGAATACGGCCAGGACATTTAAAAAAAAATTTTTTTACATTGGATATTAATTGATCAACTTTAGGAAAACATTTACGAACTTCTTCTGCAACCCTGTGTAGTCCGTGAGCTAAACAGGTGACATGTTCCATTTTAGAATACATTATTTTTATGCCTTTACCAGCCTTTACCATATATGGCGCTGCATCGCTCAAAAACAGCAAAATATTGTCGTATTTAATCCCTTGAGGCCACAAAAGATGAAGTGCTTTATCCAATAATTTAGCAATGTATGATTAGCTTTTTCCAGTGCTTCTGTGTGAAGTAAAAATATTTTTCCTGGTCATCCAATTTCTAACGTACCGATAATTACATTCGCGATGTACCGGCCTTCCACATCTGTGGTTTCGTCGATAGATATCCAGAGTTTTTGATTTTCACAATACTTTTTTATATTATTCATTGTTTCTTCGTAACATTGGGCAACATACAATTTTCTCAATGTCGATTCGACGGGAATACTCTTGCTTGTATATTTTTTCAAAAAGTTACGAAAACAGTCGTTGGATAATTTATTCAACGGAATATTAGCCGATAAAAGGACTTGACACAAAGTCACAAATCATAATTAAATGTGCATTTTCTGGATGGTTGTGTCAGTAAACTTTCATTTTTTGATTTTTCAGTTTGTAAATTTTTGCGCTCAATACCATGTATATGCTTTTGACGTGACACTTGTTGTTCCACAGTGAACTTTTTATCTGCGGCAACCTTAACGTCACATATCTTAAAAAAAAGTATATATCCATCAGTTGAAAAAATATCACTTCCGAATTCAGACACAAACGCACGTAAACGAGCACTAGTCGAAGTTTTATTTTTAGGCATTTTTTAATAGAAAAGTTCTTAAGACAGGACAACGGCCAACAACACGCTACACGAGACGGTCGAATACTAAATTATATTATACAAATTATAGCGGCTACAATACGTGTTAGCTGTTATTGAAAAATAATCATTTTATTGTTTACAATAATACACTATAAATATAAATATACTATAGTCTATAAAGTATAAACTATAAATACACCATATTTCAAACATTGCGAGATAAACAGCTCGACCACGGCCAGTAATTTTAGTGTACCTAGTTATTTTCGTAACACTAACAACAATAAGCTATATTTAAAATTTAAAATAAGATATTAGGTATATTTTATTTTTATGACATTTTCACATTTAATGAAAAAAATTAAGCAATAAATGTATGTAAAAGAAAATTTCGTTATATTTTAGAAAAATGACGTATTTGTCGAAAAAAAAAATGATTTAAAATGTTGGACCGTGATAAAATGATATCAATGAGAAATAAAGGCAACAAATGCAAAAAAATGCAAAATAAAAATTTCAGATTATTTTAGTAGACCGTCTAAATCGGATTTTTAGCTTGATAGATTAATGACTACATCAATTAAAAAAAAATGCATCAACATCCGAGCCCTAGTTGTAACATATATTAGGTACTTACCTTACGCCACCAAGCTTGGCCTACATGGAATCGACACCCAATAATATTGATGTCAGGAAACACCGTTTTTGAAGCCTCGTGAGCAGCAACTTCAAAATCGACATGCAATTGTTTTATATTTAACAATTCAGATGAATATTTTGAGCTTAATTCAATTAAATACGTCCACATTTGAATATATGTTTCTTTGCATTTATCAATTAAAAAAAAATAAACCAAAGGTAAATAATAACCGTTTTTTAATCCGTGTATCGTATAAAGTTGCATAAAATACTTGGGTGCGTATTCAAAAGTACCATCTACAAATACATCTTCACACTGTAACAGTACATTAATGTTTGTCTTTGTTGTAATACAAATAAATTGCAAATCGTCTGGCGCGTGAACAAATTTTTCTTGTTTGAATTTAATACCACCATTTTCTTCCATTTTTCTCAACTGAAGTATAGCACAGGTCAACGAATCTGGGAAAGGAGGATAATTTTTGCGTCTTTTATCGTATATGGCTTTTCTTATCGATTTTGTATCTGAATGTGGCACTTCAAAATCTGTTGCCATCAGCTCAGATCTGATAATTTTTGATGGTCTAATTGAAATTGAGTCATCTGCTTTACGTTTACAATTTTCTCTTAAAATTTGGTGTTCGATTTTCTCCATTATATTTAAAATATGTCTATGCTCACCTAACATTGACAATACTTTTGAACGGCCACTGTCTGACAATATACTGGCATAACATGTCCTGTTTGTGCACAACCGTTTAACTTGCCCGTCTTTTAGTTGTCTTATAAAACGATATTTGTTTGTACCAACTAATGCCAAGTCTTTTCCGCGTTCCGACGTAATTATTTTTGTTGTTTCATTTTCCATTTTATATAACACAATATTATACTACACTTTATACTATACTTTTATGCTACTGTTGCTACTCTCGGAACGTTCGTCAGTCAACTAATAAAATCTACAGCAGTACAGCGGTTATAAGTAGTGTGAACTTTTATTTCACGATAATCATTTGATATTTCCAGTTTCGTCTATATGTGATTTCCGGCTAGCATGACAACGTTGCACAAAAATAACGTACAAACCGTGCAATCCTGTTCTGAAAAAGGTTGAAAAAGGTACCGCCGATAAGCAGCGTACACCATCGTGTTCCACCCATGGAAATAGTAACCAATACTCAAGACCAATAAAAAAATAAATATCGTTCATCCTAGACTTGAAAACTGTGAGCAACCAGTATACTCCTATAACCTACGCTACCACATTTAACAATATTGTAGACTGATCAAACTAAAATAACATTGTAAAAACTAAAAAAACTAAAAAAAACTTGTAAAACCCTGAGTGTGAAAAAAAAACAAATCACATTATTTTTGAGGTTAAATTATATGCAATGTATTTTGTAGTTGTGAGAAAACCCTATCAATTTATCATTATATAATATATTTATAATATGTATTTATCGATTCCACACAAATATCCTGTTATGAATAAAAAAATATATATACATTATATTATACAGACTGCACTGGTAACTGTACAATGTACATAATATGTTATCTACCTTATGATTTTTTCGAATCTTAAACTTATAAAAATGGCTGATCTAGGCACAAACCATAAGTTTAAACCAATATTATATTTTATTGCATTTTTATTAAAATTATTCATTTATTTATTTTCATATTAAGTCATAATTTTAAATTGTGAACCTATTGTAAGACTATGTATTTACTCTTATATAAGTAATGTAAAATCTATTTAAAACACCTCTATCTTGGTTTATGTGAATTATATGATACAAAAATTTTAACAAATAAATAAATATACACCTACTGCAATATATATATTTAGGCACTGTAATAATTATAATTATAAATATGTTACATGTTACCTATGAATATAATTCAAACTCTACCTTTTACGTAGGAGTAACTGCTGACAGATACATTAATATTAACACACTCTCATAATTTGTATACTTACACCATGTATATCTAATTTGTTTAATGTGCACCTTAGACCTCAATACACTACTACCACCGGACTCCATATGATGACGATGCAGTCATATTATATATAGAACGCAATTTACAAGTTTGGAGTATAATTATTTGTAAGTGCAGTATACAATAAAAATGATATTAATAACTGATATTGAATCCTAGTTATTTAAATACATTTAAGATTCGGATATCTATACATCTACCTCTGACTACGGTAATTATATCTATT